TCCGCCCCGGCCGGGCCTCCCTCCCTCCCGCCCGCACCGGGCGCGCTCCCCGCCATGAGCCACCATGACTGAGCAGCGCCGCCTCCCCCCCACTCGCGCTCGGGCCCGCGGGAGCCCCGCTCGCCTCCCCTCACACCCCGCCCGCCCTTTTCTCCCGGACGGAGCCGCGGCCCTTCCATCGAGGGGGCGAAAAAGCCGCCGCACGCCGCGAGCGCCGCAACGCTCCCTCAGGTGCAGCCTCCCTGCCACCCGGCCCATCCCCGCCGCCGGCTAACGGCGGCCACCCCTCCGCCTCCCACCCGGCGGCGGCGCTTTTGGGAGCGGCCGCGCTCGCCCCTGTGCCCGCGGGAGCGGGGCCCGGCGGTCCCGGGGCCGGTACCTCTCCCGAGGCGTCTCCCCCCGTCCGTCGCTCCGTGCCCGGCACAGGGAAAATGGCGGAAGCGCCGTTCAAATACCCGGACGGCGACGCCGCGCGGCCGCGGGCGGGGGCGGGGCCGCGCGTCACGTGGTGCGCGGCGCGCGGGAGGGAGGGAGGGGAAGGGCCGCGGCCATGAGGGAGCGAGGGGGGATCGGAGCGGCGGAGTCACCGTTTGAGAGCATCCAGCCCCACCGGCCGCCCCGCACCGCCGCTGGAACCCCTCAAACACTAAACCACCTCACCTAGCGCCGCATCCACCAACACCTCCAGGGATGGGCGACCCCACCAGCTCTCTGGGCAGCCCAATGTCTGACTACCAGTTCCAATGTCTGACTATCCGAACAGTATTTTTTCTAGTTTTTTTCTAATTTCTGTCCTTGGTTTTTTTGTTTCCCCAATATATAATTGAATTTTTTCTAATATTAAATCCGAATCTCTCCCCTCTCAGCCTGAGGCCATTTCCTCTTGTCCTCTTACTGTGCTTGATCTGGAAACCTTCCCACTGCTACCGAGTGAAGCTGTGATGAGAGAGCACAACTTTTTAAAGAATCCAGCAAGCCCATGGTCCATATTCCAGCAGGTTTCGTGAGCTTCTCCTCTATAAAACCAAACACACTGTACTTGGCATCAAGTACGACAGGGAACACAGGGCACAGCAATGTATCAGGAGGGAGGCAGAAAAGGGAACGGTAGAAGAGATGGACACCTCACTACGACCTCCTTTCACAAGTTGTAGAGAGTGATGAAGTCCCCCCTGAGCTTCCTCCAGATTAAACAAACCCAGCTACCTCAGCTGTTCATCACAAAACAAGTTTTCTACAAGCCTTGCTGCCCTTTGCTGGCCATGCTCTAGCTCCTGTGTCCTTTTTAAGGTGAGGGGCCCAAAACTGGACACAGCACTTGAAGTGCATCTCCAGAGGTCCTTCCCCATCCTCCAGAGGGATGCAGCCCATGGGACACAAGGAATGGTTCCTTGGCAGCTCCTGCCTGGGCAGCAGGGCAGCCCCTGGCTGTGAGGGCACCCCTGGCATCCTGGGGAGGTTTGAGGCTGAGCTGCTCAGGGAGCCCAGAGGCCTCCCTGTTTAATCTTCAAAATCACACCAGGAGGTGTTTCACTCAGCTGGTGATGCTCTCTCTGCAGACAAAGTTAAAATATGACATGTAGTTGCTTAAAAAAACTACTAAACTGCCTCCAGCGTGGTTTAATAAAGTGGTTGTTAACAGCGGGAGAGTTTAATTGAAGAACTTTCAGGTAAAAAGAGCTGAGTCAAACAGGCTTTCCTTAAATGCACCTTGTGACCATTATTTTCCATTCTTCATATAAACTGATATACTTTCACTAGAGAGGGCAGAAACGAAAGCAAAAGTTGTTCTGTAAGCCCTGGATTTAGAGTAGTTCTCTAAGCTCTCAAAACTCTCTTCAAACTTCAGTGGAACAAAGTTGTTTGAAAACTGACTTTCAAAGAACATCGTAGTTTTGCATATGTCTATAAATACCAAGTTCATGGGTTCACACTGATTTTTAAGGTCTCTGATTTTTTTTTAATCCAGTATTCTTAAATTACTTTTATGTGGCCTGCATAACATTTGTTGGCGCCCCCCCTAATATAGAATATTTTTTTTTACAGATATCTGAATGGAATTAACATAGAAAATATTTCATGACAGGTGATATATACAAACATAGCTTACTTGTTATTTTTCTACAGACATAGACACAAAATACAAAGTTTTACAAGAGTGGCTGAACTGTGCTGTAACTTTTGCTTTATTTGATAGTGTAATGCCTAGCCAAGTGTTGCATAAGATTTTTCTTGGAAAAATCACTAGTATGTTGAATTTGCCTTCCCTTTTTGGGATGAGTTGGGTTTGTGTGGTTTTTAGCATTTTTGCTGAGCGCCTCTAGGTGTCAGGATTATTTTTTCAGAATATGTAACTCATCTTAAATTTCTCTCAGCACAATGCTTTCCTTATAAAACCCTTGTGAATTCCACCTCTCTTCCTGACAAATAGGCATGTGTTCATAAATAGGAGCCCATAGAGCCACATTAGTGGAGTTTGGCAGATTTAAGGAATACAAACACAGAGGGGGAAAAAAGCAATCTGTAACTGAGTATAGAACACTCACTGTACTTCAGGACTTTCTCAATATTGTTACAAATTTATTAGTGAACTACTTTTTCCCTGCAAACTATCTAATACTTTAATTTGGAATAATTAAAAAGTTCCCCATAACAGCATTTGAGCTCCCGGCAAATACTTATTTCGTTGTTACAAAGGTACATTACTATGTGGGATCTAGTTTTTATCATGTTTTATCATCACATATAAGTAAGTGTTCATTTCCAGGCACTCATCAGCAGTTAGATCACTATCTAAAAGCTTAGAGCCCATGAGATCAGTAGGTAATCAGCAGAATAATTACTCTTAAAAGGTCTTTACATTTCCTATATCTTGACTCAGGTCAACTGTGAACAAACTCAGCAACTGTGACACAAGTAAACGTACAAAGTAAAAAGCAGCAGGTACCAAGTGTTTGAAGGTGCAGATGGGGAATGGTACAAAAGATGGTACTGGGGATAAACAGTCACAGAGCTGAGCAGCATATTTGAAGAAAACTGCTGCATTAGCAGGAAAGAAAACAATTTTTGAACTGTAAATGAAGGAAACAACATATGAAAAGGAGCATAATTGTACTTCCCAGTTAAAGCAGTGATTGCGGAAATGTCCCTGGAATCCAAGCTCCGGCAGGAACAGAGGTTCCACACGCTTGGGGTTCAAGGCAACACAGGAAATTGCTCTAAGGAAATAAGCCATTTTCAGTATAGATAGGTAAAATGGGTCACACAGCAGCAAGATTCAATAAAAATATGTATTCAAAAGACAAGCTTTAGTCATTTTTTTACCAAGTAAAATATGTTTGACTCTGGGTTTCATTAAGAAACTACACTCTCAGAAAACAAGCATTTACTAGGGCAATGATATGGAGATCTAATTTTTTTTTCAGAAAACAAAATTTCAGCATTTTACTGTCATTTAAACAGCTTGCATTGCTAATTTGGTATCTTTAAATTCCTTATCCAGCACTGGAATGAAATGCTTTAAATACATGAGGAAAATTATGCATGGATTATGCTCAGTTTCCAAAAGTAACACTTTTAGAATTTGTTGAATGTGTAGTCTAGAAGATAAAGTCTATATATCACAGAATCCCAGAATGGGTCAGGTTGGAAGGGACCAATGTGTGAACTGGTCCAACCTCTCTGCTCAAGCAGGGTCATCCCAGAGCACGTGGCACAGGATTGTGTCCAGACAGTTCTGGAATATCTTCATTGGGGGAGACTCCACAGCCTCTCTGGGCCATCTGTTCAGTGTGTGGTCACTGCATAGTAAATAAGTTCTCCCTCAAATTCAGATGGAATTTCCTGTGCATCAGTTTGTGCCCGTTGCCTCTCGTCCCACTGCTGGGCATCCCAGAGCAGAGCCTGGTCCATCCTCTGCCCCCTCTCTGCAGACACTGACAGACATGGGTGAGGTCCCCTCTCAGCGTCTCCTCTCGAGACTGAACAGCCCCAGCTCCCTCAGCCTTTCCTTGTCATAGAGATGCTCCAGTCCCTTCATCCCCTCTGTAGCCTCCTCTGGGGGGGGGCACCCATGGCACCGTTCAGACCCCTGAGCTCTCCCACATCGAGGATTCATCTCTCCTCGTACACATCCACGGAATCACGGAACAGTTTGAGTTGGAAGGGTCCTCTGGGGCAGGTGACATCGCAACGTGTCCAGCTGGGGGTTGAGCATCACCAGAGCAGGAGACTCCTTGCCCTCCCTGGGCAGCCTGTTGCAGTGCTCTGCCACATCTCTGTGGCAATCACAGAATCAACCAGGTCGGAAAAGACCTCTGAAATCATCGAGTCCAACCTTTGAGCCAACACTACCTTGTCAACTGGACCATGGCACTGAGTGCCACATCCAGTCTCTTCTTAAACACCCCCAGGGACCAGGGACGGTGACTCCACCCTGGTCAGCCCATTCCAATGTCTGATCACTCTCTCTTTGAAGAATTTCTTCCAACCTAAATCTCCCCTCACACAGACTGTGCCCTCTTGTCCTACTGCTGGTTCCCTGGGAGCAGAGCCCGACCCCCCCCCGGCTCCCCCCTCCTGTCAGGGAGTTGTAGAGAGCGAGAACGTCTCCCCCGAGCCTCCTCCTCTCCAGGCTGAGCCCCCCCAGCTCCCTCAGCCGCCCCTCACAGCACCTGTGCTCCAGTCCCCTCACCAGCCTCGTCGCCCTTCTCTGGACACGCTCCAGCCCCTCAACATCCTCCCTGAACTGAGGGCCCCAGAACTGGACACGAAGTGCGGGGCTCATCCGCACCCTCCGCCCCGCCCCGTGCCCGGTGCCCGGTGCCCGGTGCCCGGTGCCCGGTGCCCGCTCCCGCCGCACCCGCCCGCGCCAGGCGGTGCCCGCAGGGAATGGTTGCCGCGCCCGCCCGCACGGGGCGCGGTGCCGCCTCTTCCCCGCATGCGCGGGGCGGGGCGGGGCGGGCGCAGCGCTGAGGGGGCGGTGGCGGCGGCCGGCGCGGGGCGGGCGGGGGGAACGGGGCGGCCCCGGGCACGGCGGGAGCGGCCCCAGGAACCCCAAGAGCCGCGGGGATGAAGGACCGGCTGGCGGACCTGGCAGAGGTGCGGAGAGGGCAGCGCGGGGAGGGTTTCGGGGGTGGGGGGCGCCGCAGTGGCCGCCCGAGGTAACGGGCAGGGCGGGGAGGGCTTTGCAGGATCCGCCGGTCCCTGTGGGCTGGGAGGGCCCCGGCTGCCTCCGCCATCCCTTCTCCGGTTGTTTTTACAGCCCCCCGGCGGATAAACCCCGCGGTCACCTTGCTCTCGGGCCGCGGGTGGGTTTGTCCCCCCGGGAGCTGCTCGGCCCTGGTGCGTCAGTGGAGCTCTCGGCAGCGTTTATTTTCCGCGTGTTTACAAAATGGTAGCTGGCCGTGTTTATACGGCGCTTTTCCTTTCCCTTATTTGTGCTTTGGAAACAGTATCCTAAAAAAAGAAGGGAGAGTTGAGTGTGGCGGGGAGGTACCGTCAGTCTGTCTGCGACAGGATATGGCCTGGGTAAAATAAAAGGATATTTGGCTTTTTTTTTTTTTTTCCTTTTCCTGAAAAGAAATGGAAATGGAAAGCACACAGAAGTTCCTGTGATAGTTCCAGGACTCCACATACATGCAGAAGTTGGCGTGTGTTGAGCTGCATGTAAGGCTCGTTCACTTTAAAGAGTAACGTCATATCTTCCGGATCACAAAATACATCTTGGGAGCTCCATCTGTAGTGATGGAATTACCAGTCTCTTTGTTTTCCTCTCCCGAAAGGATGAATTAGCAGCTGAAAAGTTTTAGCGTGATTAAATTACGGTATCTCTACCAGGAATGATGTTTTGGAGTCATGCCAAAAAAACCCCAAAAGTGTCATTTCTTTCAGGTATCCTCATTCCCTTCTCCTGTTTCTAAACAGTCCAGGCTGTAGGAATGTGTGCCAAATTTCGGTAATGATGCACTGTCTTCCAGATAGAGGAAGCAACAAATGGTGATCCAAATTTAGTTTTTAATTTATAATCCTAAACCTGTACACTTAATTCTGGCTGAGGGGAAGCAGTAGTGGTCTGTTGTGTGAGTTTTTAATTAAAAAAAATCAACTCCACACCCTGACACTCCCCCCCCATTGATATTGTTAGAAGTGTTTAAAGCAGCTGTACATACAGGTTTTAGCCCAGCTTTAGTGTTTGACATCTGAACACTACAGCAGCAAACTACTGCTTTAACTGCTGCAGCAAGCTGCTTTAAACACTGTGGTCAGAAATAATGTATTAACATGTATTTGCCTATTTTCCGAACTGCTTGAGTTTGATCAGTGTAGTTTCATTGTATTTTATTTGGCTAAATGAAATAGTGAAGAGTAGAGCATGGACATTGTGGTTTTCAAACAGGCCTAGGCCTGCAAAATCTTCAGGAATAACTGTGCCTTGCCTCTTTCCTTTAATATAAGGATTTCATTAGATGTTGCTTTGGTCATGCCTTACCTGTAAGTTCCATCCACTCCATTTCCCCCAACAGGTTGTTTAAGAGATCCCAGTGCTGTAGGCAGTCTACACTGACCTGTTTCAACTGAGCACAGCATTCCCTTTAGCAGAAATGTTAATTTAACATGTGTTAATTTAATGTGTGGTTTTTTGTGTGTTCCTGATTTTTTTTTTTTTTTGGACAGCAAGCGAACTATTTTGTCATTCAAAGTTGTAAAGTTTTTCCCAGATTTCCCCTTATAAAGAAGAGGGAGAAATGTTACCTGTCAGTGTTTGTGGTTGATATTTTTAATACGCTGTATTTAGGTAGGTAAACAGTGCTCAAGTAGTTGCTGGAGAAAGAAATTGTTGAGGACATGCAGATTATGTAGCCTTCAGATAATGTTGCTTCCTCTTGATTTCTTAGCTAGAAGGAGTTTTGTAAAGGACGTGCTTTTTCAGAGGAGAGCAAACATAATTGTATTTGTTCAACTTTAGGAGATTATTTTAATGTCATTTATAAGTTATTCTGAGCGGGCCAAAATGAACGTCTTGCAGCTGCTTCAATTGTCATTTAATACAATTACTTGGAGAATTGGTCAAATCCCAGACTGGTTTGAGTTATTTTGAGCACAAATTAGTGTAAGATTAAAAGGTTCTCTCTGATCCAATACACTGTTTTCAGCAGTAGTTTATAGTAGATATTTAGGGAAGGAAAAAAAAGACTAGTACATAGCTGTGATTGCAAAATATTCTCCCTCAGTGGTTTGATGTTCACAGATAACAAGTCCATCTTGAAATGGCTTTAAAAGAGCCGTAGAATCTGTGTTCACACACCCAGATGAGCACATTTAGCTTGTGTCAGGTATTAAAAACAGATGTCCTTTTAAAGGTCTGTTAATAAAACTCGTTCATACTTTTTTGGGTTTTATTGTTAAATCCTTTAAGACAGGGAGAAGATGTAAACCTCTGCTCATGTGTGATGTTTTAGATCTCAGGTTTGGGGTGCACTGTCCATATGGCTCAAAACTTACCACCTGGTTGGATGCTGAAGTGGATGCAGAGCTCTCCACTGGAATCCATTCTTTGTGCTTGATTGGTGAATCATTTTAAAAGTTTGGGGTTTATATTCCTTTACTCTTGAGTGTTAATGAAGATATTTTACATTTAATCTTTGAAAAATGTTTATATTTGACTGTAGCTTTTTTTTTAAACTAGGACCTATAACTTGAACAGAACTGCATTGATTTTTTTTTTCCTAAAGTATTTCTTGGACATTCACTTAGTGCCCCCAAAACTGTTTAGGAATGAGTGAAAAACAAAGTCACAGGAGTTAAAATTGTTAGAATTGGGTGGTATGGAAACAGATGCAAAATGAACTTTTCCAGAAGGAGGAAAACACGGCTGTGTCCTTTCTCGCCGAGTCAGCCTCTTACGTGAGACTTTGTTCAAACATGGAATTTTCTGAAGATGAGCTGTGTGCCTTCCACGTCCTAACAGTGGGAAGTGATTTATTGTAGATGGTTACCATATGATGTTTCCCTGGTTGTACAATAATGCTGCTAAATGCACGTTAATGATTGACCTGCCAAAGCTGCCTGACAGCTCTCCTGGGCCCTCTGTGAGCCCTCCTTGGCTGCTCTGATACAAAATGATTTCTGCACACGCTGATGCTGTGAGGAGAAGCTCTTAAACTCTGTAAGGTACTCCTTGGGCCTGCTTCACTTGGATAATGGGCAGTTATTATCCTTGCAGCCTGCCAGAGGAATACACGTGATCTGCACTGAGAAAGGACTAACCTTGAATTTCAAGGGCAAGTTGTAGTCACGTTTTTCAGTCGAAAGCTGTTTTTGGTTTCAAAGGTCAGTAATTATTAAGATATCTCCAGCTAGGCTTATTTCTGCAATTCTGTGAGGTATTAGAAGGGACAAAGTTTTCAGGACAGCATTTGCTTGGAGCTGAGAAGTGATACTGTCGGAATATGTGGATTCTGTCACGTGAACCGATGTTGTGGTTTAACCCCAGCTGGCACCTGGAGCAGCACATGGCTGTTCCCTTGGCCTCTCCCTCGCTCATCCCACTGGGATGGGGGTCGGAATTGCAACGGGGGAAAATTCCTGGGTTGAGATAAACGCAGTTTGAAAGGTAAAAAGCTGCACACAAGCAAAGGAAAACAAGGAATTCATTCCCCACTTCCAGTGGGCAGGCGGGTGTTCAGCCATGCCCAGGAGAGCAGGGCTCTGTCACACCTCACAGGGACTTAGGGAGACAAATTGCCAAAGGTGTGCCCCCCTTCCTTCTTCTTCCCCTGGCTTTATACACTGAGCATGATGCCATGTGGTCTGGAATATCCCTTGGGTCACTTGAGGACAGCTGTGTCCCCCCCAGCTTCTTGTGCCTCCTGGGCTTCACAGGTGGGGTGAGGAGCCTAAAAGGCCTCGACCAGGCTCAGCTCAGCAGTAACTGAAACTTCCCTGTGTCATCAACCCTGTTCCAGCACGAATCCAAAACACAGCCCATACCAGTTATTGTGAAGAAAGTTAACTCTGTCCCAGGCAAAACCAGCACAAACAACTCCTGAGGAACTCAATCTATAGGTCTGTGAAGTTTATGGAGTTGCATGTTCCAGCCCTTCAGTCCCAAGGTCAAGGTATGAGCTGCAAACAGACTTTATTAGATTGCTCTTGGCATTGAGTGAAACTTTTTATCAGTTCTTTGTGATACTGTTTGTACTGGGGAGGTGAAGTCTAGGGGAAGTAATATGTTTCTGCTAAACTCAGTGATAAAAATGAGTCCTTGGTTGTGTGCTTGTCAAAAGAGCACATCACTTCAGTTGAAGAGTGAGCAAATAAGCTGTATTTTAGGTAAAAGATGATTTAAGAACATAGAGAACAGAGGCTGACAAACTCATCAGGTGTCTCAAGTGCTGATGTTTGAAGTAGGTTGCCCATAAATCCTTCAACAAATTGTAGGAAGCAAATTGTCAGTGGTGTCACCACAACCAAATTTGAAAGGGAAATACACATGGCACTGACAGTGGGTCAGGTGATCCCGATGGAGCATCTCCAAACAGGACTTCTGAGGGAGAGTTTTGTAGCTTTCATTTGATTAGGATTCACTCAGGTGTTAAATGTTTTGATAAGATCTGATCAAACTAAAAGCTGACATGCCAGGTCTCTTAGCTGATGCTATTTTCACGATTTTTAATTTGTTATTTTTCACTCAGTAAATATAAACAGAAAGTGTTCTTTTGCGTAGGTAATGAAATTAAATGTCTTTAAAGCATAGCTCATTCTTAAATATTAACTTTAAACTGGTAGCTTAGTAGCAGTGCAGTCTCTAGAATGGTAAAAAGTTAAGTGACTTCATTTGGGCACAGACTTCCTTCCATATTTGTGCAAGACTGTTCACTGATTACAATCTCTAAGGACAGATAATTTGAGTTCTAGTGATCATTTCCCCAAAGTCTGTAGTGACACACAGCACTAGGAGTGTTTGGAGGGTGGTTCAGGAGAGCAATGACAGCTCCATTCCTGTGTTTCACTTGGGGCATTATGGTTTTCTCTTAGTATAAACCCCAGATGATTTCTGACAAACATATTGCCAGAGGGCTTTATGCACCTCCTGGATTTGCAGGAAAGGAACTGTCACAAAGTATAGTAACTTCCCTTGAAGATTTGGAGCACTCTTATATTTTGATGCATAAATCTTAATTGAGTAAAACTTCCTTCATTAGATAATAGCAGTGTTTGACATTGGATTAAATGGCAGAATTGTCACACAAATAGTATATATTTCACCTAATTTAACAAAACCAGAACCAAAGGGCTTTTTGGGTAGTAGGATCAGAGGTTAGGAGCAGAGAGTGGGTGTTACAAGATCAAAGGCAGAGGGCCTTGTTCTTAGAAAGGGGTCTTGGACATGAAAATCCCTCAATGATACCTATCCTGTAGTTTGTTTTTTTCTAACTGATAACCCCTTGACTGTATGTTTGAGTAATATTTTGGTTCAACACAGTTCAGACAGTCTGTGCTCTACAAAGGGAACTGGAGAAGAGAGAAGCTGGAGCTCTTTGCCTTTCCCTGATGCATGTTAATCCTCTGTTTTCCTGTGACAAAAATTGACTCTCCATTACTCTTAAGATCCCTGGATTCCCCTGGGCTGGCTCAGGGGTCTGGGAGGTGTGACTGTGGGAGCTGTTGGGCTTTGTGCCCTGGAGGTGTGGGAGAGCCTGTCAGCTGCTGTTCCAAGGCTTTATCAATTATGCAATGCATTTATAGTTTAGTGTAGTGTAATTATGTCTAAATTGGTGTGGAATGGCAGCCTTGAAAACACCTCAGGGCAAAAGTAGTAAGTTGGTGATGGCTTTTTGCTCTGACTGTCATTAGATATGTAGTTATTACATCACAAGGCAGCTCTCAGCACCTCTCTCTGTATTTCTTTCACAACTCTGTAGTAGTCAGGTGACTTTCTGTGGCCTGTCTTATTTGTTTTTAGATGACAATCTGCAGCAGTGGAAGACTTTTTTGACCTTGCAGGCTACTGACAAAAATGTGTGTGCATTTGTGTAGCAATGTGGTACAAGTTGCAGTTGTTTCAGAACAGTATCTGGAGTTTTATTTCATAGATTTATTTTGTTGTCTCTTACAGTATAAAGGAAATGAAGATGGGGAGACAGTTATTATTGAAAAAGACCATTTCATGGATGACTTTTTCCAGCAGGTAAAGTTACAATTTTCACAGTGCATTGAAGATTTAATGTTTTCTCTCTATGCCTTTTCATTTCTGTAATTAGGTTTAACAATTCCCTTCTACACATACTCTGCAGTATGGTTTGTAATGGTTTGCCAAATTAAATGTTGGTAACACTCTTTGTTACTTATTTCAGGGTATTTTCTGTCTTTATTGCAGAGAAGTGTTTTTAACTCCTATTGACAAAGGAGTTTGCTGATAGAATTTTAAAATTTATTAAGAATATTAGCACTTAAGTTTATGGCCACACAGAATATATTTGCTATTAAGAATTAAATTTTTTATTTAAAAGTAAGATTACAAGCTTTTTAAATGTCAACATTACTGGGATTTCTGTCATGTACTTACAAATGTTGCAATGAAATAATTTATGATTTTTATGACCAATTATTTTTTGTTTAAAAAAAATTTTGCCCTGATTTATTCTAATGTCTTCATTGCTATATTTCTCTTCTTCCAGGTTGAGGAAATTAGAAATAATATAGCAAAAATAGCACAAAATGTGGAAGAAGTGAAGAAGCAGCACAGCATTATCCTGTCAGCACCAAATCCTGAAGGAAGTGAGTAAAAATTTTTAAGATTTCAAGTGTGTGTGGCTAGATATTCTGAAATACTGTTTGTCTGGTTTAGCTGTTTGTAGGAATAAAACTTGAGGTGTTCAGAATGCAAAAGGTAACCCTATTTAAGTAACTATGTCCATCTTTAATATTGAATTAATACTTTCATTTGCTTATTTTTACCTTTTTGAAGTGTCATTTGAAAAAAAATGCATTTTCAGAATATTTGTTGCCTCATCCCCACTTTTTCTAGATCAAAACTCAGTTTGATACAGTGTCTCGAATTTGATTTTGTCTTCAGAAACTTAGAAGCTGCTTACATTTCTTGTGTTTGTGGAAGTGTGGAAGTTGTCCACTGAAGCTTATACTGCAGAGCTTTATTCTTTTACTCTCTTCATTCTTCAGCAGGGACAAGGTCCTGTCTCACACCACAGCCACAGTTAAGAGTTCCTCTAAGGAGCCCTAGTTTTAGAGGCTTTAACCTCAAAGCTGGAATTGAAGCTGTGCTTTCTGATCAGAAAAAGTTTAGGGAACTTGCCCAGAAACATGGAACCTTCTGTGTTCTCAGCCCTTGTGAACTCAGGGCATCTGGGCAGGGCTCAGAGAAAAGGGAAGAAAAGATGCTGAGATGTTTTTCCTCAGTGTTGCAAGACTGGCTTGACATTTATCATCTTGTTTCATCTCTTCGATGAAAACTGAGCTTTGGATGTTAGTTCTTTATTGTCCCCCTGTTTTCTCTGTTTATGGATGAGTGTTTGTATTCCTACAAGTGATTTTGGGGGCTGCTTTTTGTCTAATAGTTGTATACAGTTAATGAATCTCAGGCTTAATAAGGGTTCATCTAAATGTTAAAACTCCGTGGTCTCAGCTCATTTGTCGGCTTGTGTTTGTGCTAAAAATTATATATATCAATAATGCATCTGAGTTGTGTAGGAACATGACAGCTCTTGTAAGTAATGTGTGTTCTTGTGATTCTGGTGTCTTCAGTGACAGAGATCTAGTTAAGTTCTTCATGAATGCTCTAATAGAATTCTTCAAAACACATAGGTCAGACATAATACACTTATCTTAAGTGTAAAAGCAATGAATACATGATAAACAACACAATTTTTAAAAAAAGGGTGAGATGAATCTGTACTTTCACTTGTATTTAGAACTCAGTAAAATTTAATTTTTGACTAGCAAACAGATATTACCTAGAAAGTGTTAAGAGAAACTGTGGAATATTTTGTCACCTGGTTTAGTTGATGAGTTAGTAATAACATTTCCCAAGTGTAAGCCTGTCACAAGAAGCAGGAACCTGATAGTATGCTGTTACAAAAATGGTATTTAAAGTACTTAAGACTATAATAAACTTCAGCTCTGCATGGTTGTTCTGAATACAATTATGAGGTTGCAAGGTAGAGTTGAAAATGGTTACTGACTTACTATTATCAATCATAAACAGTTTAAAAAAATTACTGTTTTTTTAAAGGAACAAAGGAAGAACTTGAAGAATTAAATGAGGAAATAAAGAAGATTGCCAACAAAATCCGGGCCAGGCTAAAGGGTGAGTTGTGAGCACAAATAAAACTGCTTTCACTTGCAATGATTCAGGATATTAGCAGTGTTGCAAACTTAATGCATTGCAGCTGAACTTCTTAACTTTGAAAGCTGGATTATATATGCATAAATTGTACTGTACAGCTGTTAAAAAGGAGAATGAGAGAACCACCTCCCTGGCAGCTGATGTGCAGCCCGTGGCAGTGACAGTGCCATCCTCTGTACCAGGTCTCAGCACAGCCTCGCTTGTGGAGCAGGACAGAAAGCCTGCTTGCTTTCAGAAATAGCCTAGAAAATTACCATGCAAAGTAATTTCTCTGTCTAGAAACGTATTCTGCAATTAAAGTACCTTTTTTGGTGTTTTGGAATAAGATTAAGGGCAAAAAGACAGTCTCCATGACATAAATGTCATAGGGAATTGCCCTAGAGCACTGTATTTTATATTCAGACTAGTTAATTTTGCAGTGGGTTTCCCCTGTATGTCTTAACTGTTTAGAAAAAGTTCTGAAATACACTGAGAGTTTCCAAGTTACTAGATTACAATTACTCTGCTTTTGTCCTCCAAGACATACTGAGGTGAGGTGTTTATTGTTTAAAGCCCGTTTTGCTACACCTTCTAAAATTTTTCCAGCATAATAGTGGTGTTACTCTGTTAAGGCTGTTGAAGTAATTACTGTGTTTAAAGATCTGTACCAATGATCAAAATTATTTTAAGATTTTATATATATCGCTGCCACCCCTGAAATGTTAGGCATGTAGAGAATTTGTATGTGTAAAAAGTAATAATAATATTTACAAAGTAATTGAACTGCACTGTTAAATAACTGAACATGGACTCAGAGTATTCTTGTCTTGTTCTCAGCTATTGAACAAAGTTTTGAGCAGGGTGAAAATGCCAGTCGGACATCAGTGGACCTCAGGATAAGGAAAACACAGGTATGAGCACTTAAACTAAAGAAAATAGAAGGGTTTGAGTAAATTGGAGAATAACTTTAACTCTTCTGAAATCATTTCAGAATTTCACGTTCTGTTTTGGGGGGATGTGAACACCACTCTGAGTTGTTGTGCAGTGCTATTTGCTCTATCAAAAAAATAAATAAATGTTTCTCTTCCACCTTTTTGAACTCCTCACACCCAGCACTCTGTGTTGGCTCACAAGTTTGTGGAGGTGATGACGGAATACAACGAGACCCAGACTCTGTTTCGAGAACGCAGCAAATGTCGGATACAGAGGCAATTAGAGATCAGTAAGTGACCTGAATAGGCTTGTTTAAAAAAAGAAAAATTGTATTCTTAGGACCTCTCTTGTTTCTTGTTATTAAAAGATGGTGCTAAGCATCATCAGCTTGGACATCATCTGGGAGCACGTGAGAGAGAAGAAACGATTTTAGTGTGTGGCATAAACTCGTTGATATTACTCTTCAGAACAGCTGTAAAGAAAATAGAGAAAACTCACTAAATTGTAAAAACTGTTGAAAAAATTATCTTTTTCCTTTGCTTCATTTGTTTCCAATGTCGCAACTTTAAATGAAGCGTTAAGAAAAGCTGCATTCTGAAACAGCAAGTGTTATTAAAAGCCATTCCAAAATTAACATGCTTCTACAGGGACACTTGTTAAATTCAGCTGGCATAAAATCAGTGCTGCTGTTATATGTGCTCTGATCATCTGTTGCCTGACTCATGTATGAATGTTGATTATTAGGATGAGTGTTTAGAAAGGTTCATGACTTTCCTCTGAACTACAGAGTTCAGATGCTCTGAACTCTTCATCTACCTTGGAAGGTGTCTAAAAATCTCTGTTTCATCTTGTACCTAAAGTTGGCCCTTTTTAATGTCTCCTGTAGGAGCAAATATGTACATTGCTGAAATAGGGAATGGAAACAGCAACTGGCAAATTATAAGAAGACTTTGCTTTTCACGTGCTTCTCAAATTGGTCATTACCCTCTCATGCTAATGGTCCAGTTCAGCATTTCAGTAAAGTTTAGTAGGCAAGTTAAGTTGTTTTTTGCTATATGTGTGAGGGGAGGGACACTAATACTTCAGTTCTTTTAAGTTCAAGTTGTTATGACCCAATTAGAGCCTTCAGCTTTTCTTAAGCACTAAAAATTTTAAAGCAGATTTTGCAGCATTCTTGGGTATTAACATCAGAAAGTAATACTCAAACTGTAGCTCTCTCCTGATAGGACAGAATTATATAAGTTGGTACAGATATTCAGCTTATTTTACATTGAAAGAACAGGGATTTGATATGGAATTGTTAAAGCTGTACAATACAAATCACTTGAATGTGTTGTGTAACTCATAACACTTTCATTTGTGGTACCAGTGTGATCAACAGGATTCAGTTTGCTTAAACATGCAGTAATAAATTACATGAATGGTTACTTGTACTATGAAAAGCAGAAGTGAAGGTGCACTGTGGGTTATCATCTTCTCTGTGTGGAATATGGATGGAATCCTGTGTTGGGAAAATCAAATTTACGTAAAGATTTTATTGCCCACACAGTGGTGGGGTGTGAGTGTGACATGACTGAATAGGTAAATATTGAATGTTATATAAATACTCTCAAGTATCTCAAGTTCTTCCTTCTGAAGAACACTCCACTTCAGAAGGTTCATATGTACCTTGTAAATATTTCTGATAAACCCTTCAATTTGACAAAAATCCCCAAAACGAACTAACCAACCAAGCAAGCAAAAACACTCCATGATCAGGAATCCTTCATGGTAGCTTTGAATCTGTGTTTGTTTTCTGACTATCACTTGATACTTTGTGGGTTTTATTCTATGCAAAATGGCCCTTGGTAATGGCTGACCACTACAACGTTTTATCCTGCAAAATACTCGAAACAAGAATTGTCTTTGAATTGTCATCCTTCCAGAATGGTAAAATGTTGTGTTCCACACTGAACCAGTGATGTTATGTGAAGTCCTGTTGTTTTTATCCTAGCTGGAAAGACCACCACTGATGAGGAACTGGAAGAAATGTTAGAGAGTGGTAATCCTTCCATTTTCACTTCTGATGTATGTATTTCTGCTCCAGCTATGTCTCTCTTCTATTCTACTGCTCCTGCTCTTCAGGAGTGTGTCAGCAGGTCCTTACTTGTGTCCTTATCTTTGTCCATCCTCCCAAAGATTATATCAGACTCTCAAATAACCAGGCAAGCTCTGAATGAGATCGAGTCCCGTCACAAGGATATTATGAAACTGGAATCCAGCATAAAGGAACTTCATGAAATGTTTATGGACATGGCAATGTTTGTTGAGACTCAGGTAAGTGAACCAATTCAAACACCTTTGTGTAAGTGGTGGCTTTTTTCCTCAGTCTTCCTCTTTGCAACGTGCAGGAGCAGTTGCTTATATTCAGATAGTGCAGACTTAGAGTGTTTTTGGCTGTGATTAGAATATAGAAAAGTTAATCACCGGAGGGTTTTTGTTTTGTTTTAAAGAAGTTTACCATCTCTGTGCTTGTAGGATATGCTTTCAATAACTGACCACAGTTAGCATATATAACATTTTCTTCACCATGCTTAATTGCAATATACTTGAACATTTTTGTGCATGTTAAAGTAAGAACAACTCTGTCCTGGAATGTTGGCTAACACCTTGGGAATTGAGGATTCTCAGACATGGTAAAGAACTACTGTGGTAGAATAACGTGTGTTAGCAAGCACTTAATACAGAGTACAGTTACTGCTGTGACTCACATGAATGTGAAGGGCTTGACAAGTCCTTCAAGTCACCTCTTATGTTCATAAACTTTGTCTTGACATGTATATAAATTTGTTCTGTTTGTAGTCTTTACATGCCAGTTACCCAACAAAAATATTTTCATTTCTGCGCTTAAAATTGTTTGACTCATGCAGGAAACTGAACAGAATAATGTTAGGAAATAAACTTTCCTGAAAAGGACTATCTTTTTAATTGGTTTTTGCTCTACAAGTCCTGTGTTGCTTTGATATTACATATACAGCCAAGAGAAATTGGTAGCAGTTTTCTTTTGAATTAGAAATGACCAAAAGTTCCTTGTGCATCATTCTTTAATGCTTTGCTGTTTACTGCTGCTGATTATTTCTTCTGGTGGACAGAAACACAGGTAACAGACTTAACTGTCATTTTTCACCAATCCTCCATTTCATTGCCAAATTTCATTCACCATAGTTAATTTGAATTTGTGATGTATTGACATTCCCTCCATTCTGAGGAACTCCTATGTGTGTGTTTCCTTGGATAACTGTTGAACCTTGTGTTAAAATAGTCAATTATCCTTCCCCACTTGCAGACATATCAGGGATTTCCCATCTCTATTTAGTTTGGGCTGTTAAAACATACCTCACACCCAAAGGTATGTTTTCAGGTGTTCAGGACTTATTCCTGCAAAAGGGAATGTGCCTGCCCTACCCATGAATGTTCTTTGTTTGGTGAGAACTGTGAGTCCTTGCTTCTCATTCCCTTTTCCCTTTACATATCAAAGCAGAAAAAACATCACCCACTAAAATGTGCATCGTTCCCTTGCTGAAAGTAATTGTTTTTCATTAACAAGGATCCATGGATTCCAATAATAGATTTTTTTTTCTTCGAAATTTCATTTTAAGGGTGAAATGATCAACAACATAGAGAAGAACGTGATGAATGCAACAGATTATGTGGAACATGCAAAAGAAGAGACAAAAAAGGCAGTTAAATATCAAAGTAAAGCACGAAGGGTATGTTGTCTTTCTTAATTGTTCTAGTCAGTATTTTAACTTAGCACAGGATGAAGTGACCTTCAATTTTAGTTGAATTTTTGTTACTGTATTCACTCCTTCAAGGTAGAATTAATATGTGCATTTTCCTTGTTTGCAGTTGTGCTTTTTAAAATTAGATTAGAAAATGTTGTTATGAATTAGTAAATTGCAGAAGAAGACTTAACAAAGGACTTTCAAGCAAACAAACACCCCACCGCCTCAAACTGGAAGAAATCAAAACATTTCCAATGTGAACAAATTTGTCATAGCTAACATTAAAAAATTATATTACCAGTAGGGGACAGAAGCTTCTTGTACTATGAAAACAGATAAGCAATTCATGCACAGCTAAGGGTGTGTTCACAGTTTTTTTCACAAAAAGTTGTCATATGTAAAAACCCCAAAAGAAGAATTAATACTTTAAATTATTCAGATTCTAAATAAGCTTAAAAGTTTTTGAATCTTTTTATCATTGACAAACTTACCTGGATTTACAGATATAAAATCTCCATAAGTGGTTTTGGTGAAGCAGGCTTTTTTAGAATCCTCTCTCTAATTATTCATTTTACAGATGAATTAGGAGGATCTTCCCTCTGGAAAGGGAGTGACATTTTACCACGACACTGAAGTTGTGGAGGATTTGAGTTCAGAGTAACGTTCAGGTGTTTTCCATGGCACTTGTTTTGTGTCCTGGTGTCTTCCTTCCCATCAGACACCAAATAATATACTCTGAAATCAAACTAAGTAGTTTGGTTTTACATTATCAGTTCCCCTTTTGAGAAGCTGTGCAATTTTGTGAGTTTTTTTATGGTGTTTTTTATGGATTTGAGGGAATAGTGCATCTTTTTATAGATAGATATCTACACAGAGAGAACACACTTGTTATATTTACAAAATATTGTTTAAGAAGTGTCAAAGAGCCCATTTAATGTGTTTGTAAATGGTGACTGTACCATCTTTGACTGTATAGACATTATCACACTAGTTTACATGTAAACACTGTTTAAAAATGTTTGTTCTTACATATGCAAGACTACACAGATAAATTTATCTCAACTTGGAAATACTGCAGGCTTTAATAAAAGTGCTTGTGGATCTAAAAACAATTTAAAAGAACTGAGAATAAATGCATGTCTGAATGTGCTTAATATTAACAATACCTTGTTTTTTGACAGAAAATGTGGATAATTATCATTGTGTCAGTGGTGTTGGTTGCCATAATTGCTCTAATTATTGGTTTGTCTGTTGGTATTCGGTGATGGTTGGATAACCTCAGCATGCATGTCTTCCTGCCACTGTGGCAGTAAGTAACTAATCAACTAATTTTGCTCTTGTTTTCTCTGTATTGTTCTATTAACCCTTAATATCTGTGCAGTTATTGCTGGGGGGGTGGGTGGAGGGATGGAGCTGCATTGCTGGATCTTCCCTCTGTGTCCTCTAACAGCTCCATGCACGTGGATATTGCCAACTGACACCTAGTGGTGAACTGCTCAATGCACAAAAAGTCACTGCCTGACTCAGGAACAGGAGCAGATGAGACCAAAAAGCCAACTATTGTCTCCCATTCCTTTGAGTTTCTTTTTTTTTATACAAAAGTTCACGTTAGCAAACAATCTGCACTAAGATATGGAATGCTGGTTAACACTTGGAACTTTATCAGATGGGGTTTTCTTTAGTTTTAAGCAGAGCTTTTAAAAAAAAGAAGTGTCTGCAACCAGGAAGTTGGCTTTTATGCCTTCCAGAACATCCTAAAATGACTTACTTTGAAGCTGTTTATTAATACCAGACTAAATGAAACAGTGGGAAGTAACAATGTGTTCATAAAAGGAAGTCTGCAGGGATTCCAGCTGGAATCCTAGGACAACAATGAGGCTTTTTTCAGTCTTCAGGTATTTGCTGTACTAATCTACCATTTCTTGTCAACACCTAGGCAGGCTAAGTAGAATTAACTAAGTAGCAATTAACTCTTTGCAATCCAGCTTTTTATATGTATTATCTTCCCGCTCTATACTAAGTGCTCCAAGGGGTGTCAGTTCAGAGAGCTTGTCAGGAATTCAGGTTTCTGTACTAACACTCTTAATATCAGACTTTGAGGTTTGGTGTTATGGATTCTTCTCAGCTCTGGTTCATGGGCAGAGAACAGACTTTACTGTGTCATTGCTTTTAGTCAGAAATATCAGATCTAATGTCACATTTTGATGCATTCACACAGGACCACCTCTTTTGTTTTTTTTTCCCCTTGCAGCTCTTTGAGCTGTTACCCACAGAATGTTCTTACTGACATTGTCCTGAACTCCAGTGAGTGTGCAGGTGTAAAGGTCTGGGCAGGCTGCAAATGTTTATCCAGGGAGGGTGGCAGTGAGCAGTTTCTGTACTTAGACTTGACCTACATCTGTTTCTGTACGTCATGGTATTTACAGAAGTTGGGCACGAGTCATAAAAAGTACCCTGGGAAGCAAAATACAGACACGTTGCACTCTGTCTTGTGGCTATGGTTACATGTGTGTTAGAAAACAAAGACCAGCAGGAAATCCTGGCAGTGATTAATCTCTAGAGAGAAAATCCAAACTCTCAGGTTGGGTGTCAGTATTACTAATTTTCTGTGGCTCTGCATTTATTTAAACAAAGTGTTTCAATCTCGACTCTCTCTTTTTCTTGCAGAAATTGATGTTCATCATTATATGTGTAACTGTATTGCTTTTGATACTTGGAATTATCCTTGCAACAACACTGTCCTAGCAAGCACATTCCAAGAGTTATGAACCTTCAGCAACTCCAAAATACATCTTTAGTAAAACCAAACCTTGACCAGAAATGATGCCTTACACTGTTCCGTGATGATGACCTGTCACTAATGGCTCAAAATGAAAGCAAAATCACTCTTAATGTTTACTCATAAACAAAGATCAGAATGTATTAGGATGTGTATGGATTTTCATCATAAACTAGGTTTGTAAGACTGACACTTGCTCTTCATTGTTTTGAACTAGAGTAACTTAGGGTTTTTTTTCATATCTCAGTGTTATAGTTTAAATAGGGAGTTGAGAGACAATTGAGTTTTTGACTGTTTTGCTTTTTTTCCTATTGCTAACATAATTCTAATCATGAATTTAGTACCTTGCTGGTGCTGCCTTTGTTAGTACTCTTGTGAACATTTTTATGAGATATAGCCTTGTCTTTATTAATTATTTAGTCACCTTAACCTATATAAGCTTTATGCTTAAATATTTTCTTCTCCAACAAGTGCTAAAATATTTTAACCTGAAAAGACTTATTTAACTGTCTGCTTAGTGCATTACACCCGAGAAGAAAAAAAAAAAAAAGCTTTTTTACACTTGGCAGTTTATTAATTTTTTTCTTCAATATAAATTGCTTTAAATATTTCCTTCCTATTTAATAAAAAGTTAGTTGGAACATTTCTGGCAAACGAAGACTGCAGTGAAGCACACTGAATTTGCACTTGAGCAAAGGAAGCTGATGGATCAGTTCAGCCTTATTGTTCATATGAATATGACAAAAATTACATTCTAAAGCCAAATCAAGTTTTCTTGTTTCGAGCCTTGCTAATGCTGATGTATGAACATGGCATGAGGATGAACTCCTTCAGAGAATCTACAGCATAATACAAACTAAGACACTGACTTGTTATGAAATATCTGTATATATAACATAGATGAAGTGTTTTAGTGTATACATGCCTGTTGTAATCCTAGCTTTCGTGACTTGAAATACTTCAAATGTACCCAAATAACTGCATTTAATGTTACAGGTTATTTTTGTATTTTATTTTTTTGTGTGTGTGTGTAAAATATTTGTAACTTGCCTTTGTGACTCCTCATTGTTGAAGCATATCCATGTAGATATGTAGATCTAATTCTCTTACAGTGTAAATATAGGAAAGGATGATCTGTGCCTTTTTAAGCACAGTCTGAAACCACACTCGTTGATGTTTTCAAATAGTCAGCTCTGATCTGAACTGCAGTGACTTGGTCCTGCAAGGTCAGAATCCTTCAACTTGCATTTTATTGGAAGTGTCTGAGATCAAAGTTACTCTGTAAACTAGAATTCAGTTTGACTTCATGAAATTCAGCAAAGTTTACAATTTATATTGTATGTATGAATATTCCTGCTTTGCTGTCCAAATATACTGTGAATGTGCTGGAGTTACTCAGATGTCAAACGTTTAAAAACCAACAAAAAATACTATTATTGGTCCTTTTCAAGTCAGCCATAAAGAAGTCGCTTGAAAAATTTGGCTTCATTAATGAACAAATTTCTTTTACCTCTAAGTCCAGAACACTCACTGATGTTTGTGAGGAAGTTTACAAGCAAAGTAAGGAAAGATTGGTTGCCTTAGTACTTGTTCTAGGTAAATATATTTTTTATTCTGTAGTTTTCTAGGTTTTTATCAGTATATATTATTTATACAGATACACAAATTACATAGAGGGGAAAAATCAGTCCTGTTATATTGTATTTTTCATTTTTCTTTATAATGCAGTAATTTGCCCATCAAGACCAGAAATTTGAATAGGCTACTTGTTGTACAGCTGCCTCAATGAGTTTGTTTTAAAACAAAACACAACTTTGTTTTTCACAGGAGAATGTGAAATCTTCTTGGAGGGGAGTAAATCTCTAACCTATGCACTAATAAATTCATCTAAGCGAGTATCTCGTGTCTATTTTTATATTAAGGATTTTACTGTGACCCTTGTGAATATTCCCAGGGAGTGTTTGAATCAGGCTGGGATGTTTTTGCAGTGACATCTGTCAAACAATGGTTAAAGGCAGTGGGTTTCCTGAAGCTTCTTACCAGGAAAGGTGTAGAAATGATCTGAGTATACACAGAGGTGATTATGAAGAAAATAATGGAATTTATTAATTTAAACTATGCCCATGGGGGAGGCGTTTTCAGAGAGATGTTGAGGTAAGAAATGCCCAGGGTTTCATTTGAGTCAGTGCTCTTTTCATACAAAAATAAGTTGTTATAACTTCTGTAACAGTCCAACAGCAGTGAGGGTTTGCAGCAGGGTTAATACCAAAGCACTTAGAAAAACGACCTATCAATGACTATCTGTCAGTAGAAACAAAGGCAAAATGTTAGAGAATCAACTAAAGCTGTTTCAGATTTTTGATTCTGCCTCTGTTTGCTCTGTAGTGTAAAAGAGAACAGTTTTAGGCAAAGGAGGATTTGTTTAGCAAAGCACTACCTGAGTTTTAATGAATAAATTTAGAAGATAAATTTAAAAGACAAAGGGAATGAGGGAGCTGCTGCCTACGAGGAAGGATGCTTTTCTGTATAACAATTATTTAAAAATAAATTAGAAAAAAAGTGGTTTTGAGAGAACAGTTTGAATGTGGGCTTTGGTTGTGGGGTTTTTTTAGGGAGGGACGGATGGGATGTGAATGGGGGTTTAAAGCCTTGGGTTACCCAGTGTTAAATTTGATGTGATGTGTTCATGTGGCTCATATGCCAGCTCTGAAAATAGCCATGGCACTGTCCCTGTGCTGCAGCCTCTGCACCTGTGGGGTGGCTCAGGGGGGACTGGCAGGAGCAGACTTGGCTGCTCGGGGCCGTGGTGCCACCACAGCCACCTCTGTCCCACACGTGTGAGGTCCTGCTGCCAGCACAGAGCACCTACAGTGAGCATTTGGGAGTGAAAACAGCATTTCACAAGCACTTGTAACAAGTCCTGAAGAGCGAAAATACTTTGGAATAAAGGGATTTACAAAGGGCAATAACTAGAGATGGTAAGTAATGATAAAATCCTGGTGTTTCTGTGTTGGAAGGAGCAGTGGCTGCTCTTTGCATTTCAAGCCATTTGACTGCAAATAGGGGAAAGAAGGATTTTGTTGTTCAAGAGGGAACAGTTCCTAGAAAATGGCTGAGTTATGATGCAAAGAGCTGACAATATGCAGCAGACTTTGTGAGAAGGAAGAAAACAAGGATTATTTTGCATACAAAATTATATTCCCTGTATCCAGCTTTTAACATGACACTTGGTTGGGTCAGCCCATGCCAGGTACTGTCAATTCAAGGTAAACTGAGCTGGGCAACATTAAACTGAGTTTAATGCAACTCAGTTTAGAGAGTGTAACTGGGCAGAGGTGCTGTTTGTGTAACTACATCACAGAATGAAACACCTTTGATTTTGATTACCTTTTAGGTATAAATATTTTTGAAAGAAACCAACAAAACACACTTTTTCTGTCGTGGTGGTTCAGGTAGTAGAACTATCTCTTAATCCTCTATGGATGAATGGAATTGTTTTTCTACAGGAGGTCCATCAAACAAAATAACATTTTGCTAGTCTAAAACTTCTTAAGGAAAGAACCCAGCCTTGAGAAGAAATTTTTTCCTTGCCCTGTTGGTGAAACACATTTGTGTTCACTGAGGGATATAAATGGTTAATTTGAAGGGTATATTCTGGACTAAATGTAGAATATCTGATCATTAGACAAGAGGCAGGGGGTGACTGGCTGTGATATTTCCCAACAGGTACCCAGACAGCAGTTACTCTTTGTGAGTCAGCTCAAAGCCCCTGAAATGCGTCTTTGTCCAGTCAGATACTGTGAAGTAGAAGTGAAAGAATGGCAACTATTTGAAAGCCTGTCCAAGGCCTTACTCCCATTTGTAGGTCACTGTAGACTCAAACCCTCATCAGGGCTATAACAGAGCTGTTCTGTTTGGGTGTGGAATGGGAATATTAAGCCCTGTTTTGTCCAAGTCACTGAAATGACTTGTCTGAGGTCGCAGAGGATCCTTGTGGCAGAACACAGTGTGTGTGCTCAGGTGCCCTTTGCAACTTTCAAGACACTCTTTGCTGTGTGCAAAGAAATACTCCTGGGAAACTCCAAAGTTCATCCATGTCATTGTTGTCCAGAAATTTAAATGAGATTGGTGTTTTCCCATCTTCCTTTTATTTGAAATAATTTTATTTTGAGATTATTTTAGCCAGAGGAATGAAAACGACCTGCACAGTACTGTAAGATCTGTGAGTTACTCTGCCCCAGCTGGGATGTTTTTCAGAGCTATCTGGCAGTGTTGGATTGCACAGTTCTGATCTAGAGCGTGGTACAGTAGTAGATGTCAATCAGTGAAGGCAGCTCTAAAATCTCAGGTTTCAAGGTTCTTTACAGGAATTCACATCACCATTGTGGCAAACTGCTTACACTTTGTAGATGTGGGAAATGATTCAGGGAAGGAAGTTCAACTGAAAGAACTGGTACTGACAGTTGAATTTTCTGCACATTTTCTTTCACTGTTAAAACTTTGGAGCATGTATAGCACGTAGACTAACTTTGCAGTCAGGAGTTACACCCACTGCTGTAAATGAGGTCTAAATTTGGTTCCTCATTAAAAGTGACACTAACTCCCACAGAAGAAGAGAAACTGCTGTTGCAGCTTTACACTCCAGCAGCTGAAGCAGCCTGGGAGTGAGAGATGCCCTGTCCTGTGGGAACACAGGGATGCAGGAGGGAGGTTTTTCTCATTAGTTGTAATCCTCCATCAGTGACGCAGTCAGAAGTTACCAACCCCTTTGCTATTAGTCCCATTCATTCTGAGGTCTGCAGTAATGTTATTTCCATCGTAGTTCATCTTCTGAACAATTTGGTTTCATCATCTTAATCAGCATTTCTCCCTGCAGAGGCTTTCATGAGGGTTTTCCAGTAGTATTTCACACACACCTCCAGGAATTTGGCCACAATGGAGGTGTTGTGTGTTGGCCAGAATATCCACTGACTTGGCAGGTTGATTTGTGTTCTGTCCCTGTTCCAGAACAGCTGGTCAGGAGAGGCTCTGGCCTTTAAAAACATGGCTAAACCCTGGCTTGTTTTTAATTTATCGCTAGGTTTTATGTTGAGAAAGTGGAAAGCAAATCCTTTGAATGCTGGCAATGGGGTAGACAAAAGCATTTTGTTTAGAGGTGGAAAGGCTCTCAGAAAACACAGTTAATTCCACTTTTATTCTTCCAGGTCATTCCCTGGGATTTCTGATTTAAGCACAGCTACCCATCTGGCCCCGAGTCCAGGGAAAAGATCTGATACCTGAAGCGTGTTTAGCGAGAGCAACTAAGCTCCAGTCCCCTCTGGAAAATCAACTTAAAGCTTGAGAGAACATCTCATTCCCAACAGCTGCTGAGACAGAAGCAGGTCTCTTGCCTCATTGCTCTGAGTGCTGAGAGCTTTCTCCTAAAGGGGAAACTTTGGGGAGTAGTTTGGAGAATGGTACTCTGGGAACTGCTGGGTGCTGCAGCAAGGCCTGCCTGGGGTAGGTGCCACTTTTCTAACAGCCTGTTCTCCTAAACCATCACAGGCAGTGGCACAGGTACATCACCAGAACATCCCTGTGCAGCCACGAGTGGGAAGGGGCTGCTGGCAGGACTTATTGATCCATGGGAAGAACTGGAAGTTTGGAAAGAGATGAGTTGAAATTTTAGGGAAATCTGAATCTTCCACATTCACAGCAAATGTCGTAGCACCTTTGACATCTGCTGAAGCAGGATGTGACCTTACCAGTGGAGTGAGTTTACTTTAAGAAAAAGCACAACACAAGCACAAAAAACTCCAAAAATATTCATTTCCACAAAACATGTCTCAGTTCTCTCCAGAGTCTGTGATTGCTGCTGATCCCCCTTTTCAAAATTTTAGGAATCACCTTAATTCCCTTTCCAGAATTTCAAATGTTGCTGCTCTGTCTGCTGTGCCCCTTCTGTCTCAGGGATGGGCTGATTGCTGACTCGCTCTGCACATTTACTGTTTTCCTCTTGCCACTTAATTTCTTTAATAGACTTTAATAGACTTTTAAAATACCATGACTGGTAAGGCTCAGCCTTCTGCAGTGCTTCAGATTGACCTGGGACCTGACCAGGGAAATATTTGTCTTTTTTATGCCGTTACTTTAATTACTGGAAGTACTGACAGAACGCTGTTGAAAAAAAAGACTCACTTTTCCAAATGCAGGCATTCTCAGCTATTGAGCCATCTAATTGTGGGGCTCAGATTTTCTGCCCACTTCTAATCTTGGTCTGTGGCTTTCCTTTTGTTCAGGCTGTGGCTTTTAGAGACGTAGTTTATTTGTTATTGAATCTACCTCATGGTATTTGTAGTGAAGAAAAATGGCAGTTTAGGTAAGGCCAGACATCCATGATAGAGACTAATCTTGGTTCTATCCACACTGCTGTGAACCACTGCTGTGAATGGATAAATCCAGCTGCTAGCAAAGGAATCTTAACTGCATGGGAAAGCAATCTGAAGAAAGAAATACATACATTAAAAAAATCTAAACAAACTGCTTTTAACCATCTGAAAATTGCAAAAAAAAAAAAGTTTCAAAACATCCTGGGTTTAAATCAGTTCATATAACAAACACACATTACATTTCCAGCTCACATCCTTGCTCTGCTTTTGATTTTCCCTTTTGGCAATTTATTCAGAGTAGAGATAGTGGGTAGAATCTCAGAGGAGAATAAAAGCCAGTGTTTTGAGAACTAATGAAGTAATTATCTAAAGCATTATTTACAATGATTATTTAGAAGATAATGAGACCCTTTAATTATGTTTGTTCTGCATAGCTGGCCGTTCAATAATTCAGGGTGTTGCTGTACAACTTCCTCTATGTTTACTTTGCACATTTTTGTTTAGAAAAACATCACATTTTTGTACTGTCT